TATATGGATAAATCTCTGGGTACTTTCCCATATCCTAATAAAATGCATAATGAAGTCTTGCATTATAATATTTAAGTTTGTAAATATCCAAATAATTATAAGTATTGTCTCATTTCATTATTTAACTGAACCAGTATTTATTCCCATGTACTATACATGATTTTTTTTTATTGAATGGTAACTATGTACATTAATGCATTCTGGGGTACAGTGTGGTGCTTTCACATACAATTTGAAACATTTCCATCAAACTGGTTAACACAGCCTTCATGTCATTTTCTTAGTTATTGTGTTAAAACGTTCATATTCTACTCTTAGATTCACTTGTACCTTTGTAAGATAAACCACAGAAGTGGTTATCCCTCCAATCCCCCTCCCTCCACCCATTCCTCCCCTCCCCTGACCTTCTCCCCTCCCCGCATTCTTAGGCTGTTATTAGGTTATAGCTTTCATATAAAAGGTATAATTTAATTTCATAATAGGGGTGTGTACATTGGATACTTTTTCTTCCTCTCTTACATGATTTTTTTTTTTTTTGCAGTTTTTAGCCAGGGCTGGGTTTGAACCTGCCACCTCTGGTGTATGGGGCCGGTGCCCTACTCCTTTGAACCACAGGCACAACCCCAGTATACATGATTTTGATGAAACACAGCCAAATAAGGTGTGGTCCCAATTCTCAGGAACTTTATCACTGAGTGGAAGATGGCAGAAAGTAAATGAATAATTGTAGAATAATTCATGATGTGAACACTGGGATGCCCTGTTCCCCTTTCAATGAGGAACTTTTGGTCCCAGTCACAAAACCACCTCACCCAAAAGCCTGCCCCTTTCAAGAGGCCCACATCCAGTGATTGATCCATGCTGGAGAATAAGACTCAGCCCAACTTCCTACAATTTGGAAAGGTCAATTCTTGCTCTTGAGATTCTCCCACAGGGTCCACCAAGGCTCTTGTTAGACCACCATCCAAGCTCAGCATTCTCTCTAGCCCAGCAGTTTTTACCTGGGGACAATTTACTGCCTCCTCCACCCTACACCCCACCCCAGAGATATTTGGCAATGTCTAAAGACATTTTTGGTCATCACAAGTGTGTCTGGCCATCTTAATTTTGTCAGTAGGAGGTGAGGTCATCCACTGAAAGGGGGGACCAGACTGGGGTAGAAGGGGAAGCAGGGAAGAAGGAAAAATCAAAGGGAAATTCTAGGAGAGGACCTGAGAGGGGCCTGAAACCAGGACCTACTGGGAGGTGCTCCTGAGGAATTGCTCATTCCTTTACCAGCTTCAAGGGAAAAGGGCAGGACTGCTTAGACCCACTTACCTGACCCAGGTAAGGGGACTGGCTCCCATTCAGTTTCTCCACAACATTCAGGTGGCAGATGGGTCCCAGGGCTGGGGGGAAACAATCCAAAAAGCCCCATGAGATTAGCTATCCTTCCACACACCTGGTAGGGTTATCCACATCTGACACCTGGGCATCCCTGAGGGGAACTTTGGGGCCCAGACACCACCATCGTGGATTGGTCTGTGCTACTTCCTGTGTCAAGTAATGGCCTCTGTAGATTTCCTTACTGTAGAGCCGTGTTTTTCAACCTTTTTTTTTTTATCTCACAGGACACTCGAAGCTATAGTTAAAGTTCCATGGGGCAATTAAAGTATGTTGATCAAAAAAAGAGTTTTTATATATATATATACACACACACATATATATTTACTGTGCTTTGAAAGTCTTTCAAAAATAATTTAATTGATGTCCTTTAAAAATTTTTGCAGCAGGCTGGGCATGGTGGCTCACGCCTGTAATCCCAGCACTTGAGAGGCTGAGGCAGGTGAAATGCCTGAGGTCAAGAGTTCAAGACCAGCCTGACCCAGAGCAAGACCTCATCTCTAAAAAATAGCTGGGCATTGTGGTGGGCACCTGTAGTCCCACCTACTTGGTAGGTTGACACAAGAGAATCGATTGAGCCCAAGAGTTTGAGGTTGCTGTGACCTGTGACACAACAGCACTCTACCAGGGGCAACAAAGTGAGACTCTCTCTCAAAATAAATAAATAAATACATAGTCTAGCAATATAACTAACACCC